TAACAAAGGATTTTCTTGTCGACTTGTCACTAACGAACAGTAAAGACCATATTAAAAGAGAGCGGTACCGCGATTATGTCCAGTCGATGTTAGCACTCGGTGAAGGTGAGACGGTCATTGATCTTGGTGTTTCAGCTGACGATACTACAAAACGAGGTATGAGTTGTTTGCATGAGTATTTGAACCAGCTGGCTTCCTAAAGTTATGTTTATAATGAATTGGTTTTTTTTTTTCCTTTTTTTTGGATTATTGCAGGTTTGTCGAAAGATGATTTAGAATTGTCGGAGAAGAAACACATAGCACTTTTGGAAGAGATTGGAGTAGTTTCAACATGTTTAGTGACCAGAAAGCAGAGCGGTCTTTACACACGTGCTCATCTTGTTCGAAAGAAAATAGATCCTGATGATTTTATCGAGGTTTATTTTTCTTTCAGCATTTTAAAAAAGCTTTGAAATACTGTGATGTTCAGTTTGTATTTGGTTTCAGGTGCGTGTGGCTGTTTTAGGTAATGTGGACGCAGGGAAATCAACATTATTGGGTGTGTTGACATATGGCATTCTGGACGACGGCCGTGGACAAGCTCGACAAAAGTTGTTCCGGTAAATTTACCTTAATAATTGTCTAGGATACCACTTAGTCATAGTGCACTTTCATTCGCCGTGAAATTCCTACTTTCAGGCACAAACATGAATTTGAGTCAGGTCGAACTTCGTCCGTAGGAAACGACATCCTAGGTTTCGATATTAGCGGTAACATTGTCAATAAACCTAACTCGCACAGTGGTCATCTTGATTGGATTACTATTTGTAATGATTCCACTAAGGTATTCCGGTAATTTTGAAGTTCGGGAATGAGTTTTTTGGATTTTTCATCAGATTCATTCTAATGAAGTTTTTTGTATCTACTGTGTCTAATAATTTGAAATCTAAATGATTTCAATTTATTCGTTTTCCGCTTTAGGTAGTCACTTTCATTGATCTGGCAGGGCACGAGAAGTATTTGAAAACAACAATATTTGGAATGACTGGACATGTTCCGGATTACACGATGTTGATGGTATATTGTTTTTTGTTATGTGTAAATTTTTTGTAAATATGAGAATTCTATATTTTTCTAAGCTTGCTGTACTTTCAATTAATCAAAAAGTGTGGGGCTATTGTCATCAGTGAAGGTGAAGAAGTTTGGAAAAGGAATAAAGATTGTGATGAAGGTTTGGGAATAAAATAAAAATTGGATTTTTGGATGAAGAGCAGCTGAGTTCGAGATTTCTCACTACGAAGTGAGGTAACACATATAATTAAATTCAGAAACGCCCTTTGCATTTTCTCTACGATCTGATTAGTTTATACATCACCGTTGACACTGAACTCATTTTTACACCTTTGTTGCTAGTGATTCAAACCATAAGCGATGTTAAGATAGTATTTCTTATCATGAAATATTATGTTTCTGCTCTCCCAGTTTTCGTTATTATTAAAAACTGGTCTACCCTGTACTGATTTTGAATACAAAATTGACGAGGCAGTAGTGATTTTTTCTGAGATAAAGCAGTGTGTGATAAAATGCAATCATATGTTATTTAATACATTATGATGCGTTGTACAATATTTTGAAACTGTAGATTGGTGCGAATGCTGGCATTGTTGGAATGACAAAGGAACACCTATCTCTTGCTTTGTGTCTCAATATACCGGTATTTATGGTTGTTACGAAAATTGATATGTGTCCTGAGCGGGTAAAATCTGTTTTGTTCTCTTTTCATTTTTGCATTTCGGTTTTTATCTGCCATCTTTCGGAAAACTGCAGTAAAGACAAAAGATTTTATGTTTGTAAGACCTAGTATAGCAATGGGATTGTTCCCGGACTTATTTCAAAAATTTCACGAGGCTACTAATTATTGTCTATGGTTCTCACTTTTATCTAAAAACATTTTATTGAGAATCCATCTGTTATTGTTTAAGGTTCTATCTGAAACAATGAGGAATTTGGATAAACTGATGAAAAGTCCAGGGGTACGGAAATTGACGGTTATTATAAAGAATTTGGAAGATGTTGTTCATGCTGCTAGCCATTTTAGTAGTGGAAAGTAAGTTTCTGAAAAAGAATAAGGGATTGAACCTCCTCGTGTTTTCTGTCTCTATCGATTTCTGTTTTTTTTTTTTTTTTTTTTTTTCATCCGAAAAAATAACATTTTCAGAGTCTGTCCCATCTTTCAAGTATCGAATGTCGTTGGTACTAATTTGCATTTACTTTCCGCTTTCTTTAATCTCATCCCACTTCGACGAAAATTTTCTTTGGATAGTCCAGCCGAATTCCAAATAGATGATGTATATTGGGTAGATGGTGTGGGTACTGTGGTCTCAGGCACATGCATAGCCGGTAAGTTATTTCTTGTTGAAAATAAATAATGCTTCAAAACTTTGTTGCAATAAAAAGTATTTCACTTCGTATACTGTCTTGCAGTACGCTGTAACCATTTTGCATTTTCAGGTATGATTTCACTTAATGACACAATGTTAATTGGACCGAACCCTTATGGAGAATTCATTCCAATTCCAATAAAGTCCATTCACCGAAAACGAATGCCGGTATCAAAAATACGGTGTGGTCAAACTGCATCATTTTCTATTAGGTAAAATTTGTGTTTTTGTGGAATTGATTCTTTTTCGGTTTTCCGAAAACCTCCTTGAACAGAATTTTAAATTGTGTTTTTGAGAAAGGTATTGATGACTTCGAAATACATCCAAATTGTTTAACAATTCCTAAATGAATATGTAATGTAGAAAGTTGAATAAAAAGGAAGTACGAAAAGGAATGGTATTACTTTCTCCAAAAATGGTCGTGTTTTCGTCAGTGCAGTTTGACGCTGAAATACTCATCCTTCACCATCCGACTACAATTGCTGAAAATTACCAAGCAATGGGTATATTTTTCAGCCCTTCCATTATTTGTTTGTCATTTTGTTCCGATGAAAGTTAGTAACGTTTATAAATTAAATATCTCCAAAGGCTTAAATGTTAAAATATCAGTATAATTTCTTGAAAGTCCAATAATTTATCCGAGGAATTAAGGGAGGACGATAATATTGTCCCACTAAACTACATTTTTGAATTCTTTTTCTAGTACATATTGGTTCGATTCGCCAAACGGCAACCATAGTACGTATGACAAAAACAGTATTACGTACAGGAGACCGTGATATGGTAACGTTTAAATTCATCAAAAATCCTGAATATCTATCTGTTGGAAGTCGTATTGTATTTCGTGAAGGTCGGACAAAAGCTGTAGGAACAGTCGCTAAAGTTTATCCATATACCCCCGCTCTTCCAAAACAGATCCGACCGAAACACATGAAATACAAAGGTAAATTATTTATATTTTCATGAAGTCGTCATTCACATTCTTCCCACGCATGATAATGATTTATATAATTATTCAAAACAGTGCAAATAGACAATAAACCGAAATTATCATACAGGCATAATTATAATATACAAGTTGTGTTACTAGTAAGAAACATACAATTCAAAATGACGAAATACGGTTCAAGTATATTATGTATTTGTTTCACTCCTTTATAGTTATTTTCAAAAGTTTATTAATAACAAGCAGCAGAGCCGAGAAGATTACTTCAGCAAGATTTATTGCAGAAGGTTGGCACAGTAAAAAAGAATTTAACAGTAACGCTGGAAAAGATAAAGAAATGAATGCGAACTGATCTGCTTGTATGCTAGGTGGGAAGCGACTTTGTGCAACTATATTTGCTAAATACGAAAGCAGCGAAATGTTACTGTAAATAGATGTTTATTGTTTTATGTTATGTTATTTCTTTAATACATTTTTATAATGTCTCTAGAATTACCGGAGGGGGAGGTGAGGGGGGGGGGGGGGAAAAAAAAATAAAATATGGTCGCCCTTTCAAACACTCAAAACCTGTGTTCTGAGTTTTTGTATAAAGCATTTGCACGTTTTGAAAAATAATATGCTATTTTGCAATCACTATTGCTTACTGTTAGTGATGGGAATTTTATGGTTAAGCTGAATGTTTCCGAATTATTTCTTGATTAATCTTTATTTGTTCGTGGTTTGAAGTCCACAAAAAGAAATGAGTTTTGACGAAATTTTTGTAGTAGTGAATATTGTTAGTGCTGGATCATTGCGGTGGTGTGGATCAGAATCTATTTGTACTAAATAAAATCTTGACAATAAAATTCAAAGTCATCTTGTGCTCTACCTTTTTTATGCAGATGATTTTTACATCTTGAGGTATAAAGTGTGAACAAATTAGATAATGTAGATGAATGTGACTGATGTCATGTATGGCTTTCGTCATATTATGAAGAAAATTGCTAACATGTGACGAGAATGATGCTAGCAAGATATGATGAACAGGCAAACTGTTTTGATAGCAATGAGAACAACAGCGGAATAAATAAGTTTGTAGTCGATTTTTGTATTGGAATTTTTGGGTCATATGATTCCTTGCATGAATTCCGGAATAGATTATGGTTTCATTCTCGTCTACCATGCTTTTGAGGTTAAAGATTCGTGAAATTTTGAAATAAAATTTCAGTGAGTACGTTAAAGGCTTAGGATTCTGTTGTCGGATTTAATGCGTTTGACTGACCAAATCAGACATTTCCTCAAATCGACCCGTACCGTTATCGTTACAGTCTATGATATCGATGTCATTAGTTAAATGAATAGTTAATAACAAAGACTGAGCAAAGTGGCATGAAATCTGAGTCAGCTAACTCTTTACTAATCTCACTAACTTATCACCTCAGATGATATCCATAAAACACAGCCTGCATTCATCTACAAAAGTTAAAACGGTTTGGGGATATGATAAATTTTTACTACTGGTAAAGTAACTATTGGCAAAAAAATAGTTTTTTGATGGGATTGTTAAACCTACAAATGCTACAGTGCTCGAGATGGGGCAGGGCAGTGCTTGAGAATATCGATATGGAATGTTGTTTTTATCACTTTTATCGACGTCAGCGGCCATATGTCATATATCCATAGTATCCGGTACCTACTGGATACTGGCCATAGTATGCGGCCGGATAAGCGGTTGGATAACCGCCGTATGTACCATATCCGTATGGCAGCATTGCTGAAGACTTGTCATAATAATTTGGCATCATATATGCACCGTGTTTTGCTTCAAAAGCTCTTTCTTCTTCTTCCTGAAAGCTAAGTATTTTCGGTGTTATTTTAAAGCTGAATCGTTAATCTGTTGCATTGTGGTATCATTAAAGTAATGTGAGATTATATGAAAACTGCTGTATTCATTAAGTACTTTTAAAGGAATCTTAGAATAATATCAGTAGAAAGTAGGAAATGGGAAAAAAGATGTGAAAGAATTCAAGAAAGAGTTTAAAGTGGGATGGAAATTGTGGAGTGAGTGGATCGTGTGTTGGGGAATTGAATCAGGTCATGTGGAGTGAATGGAGTGTTATAACAGAAAACTGATTCAAATTAACTGACATTTTTTACTTCTGAAAATCGTTATTTAAAGTTTAATCTGGAATGGGAAATCGATTTCAAATTTCCAAACTCGATATTGTAATTTTAGCACAAACTTTTCAGGTTTCTTAATACAAATTACAACGAGAATAAAAAAGTTCATGCTTCTGATATTTTCTGCTATCCATACTTGAACGAAGAAAACGCGATCCTTATGAGAATATGTTTCTCTGTAGAGAACTTGAAAAAGTGAATGAAACAAACCTGGAAACCATAAATAGCTTTCCGTGTTTATAAAGCTTGTTTCAACTTGTTCGGCTTTTGTTTGTTTACCTTTTCACTGCCAATACATTTATTTATTATTGCTTATGAGAATTAATACTGCAGTAATATGAATAACAATGTGAATGGAAGGGAAGAAAGACAAGAAAGTGACAAGATGGGCATAATTTTGTTCAGAAATAATTTCATGGTCACTTTGTATGCGCATGTGTAATACATGCATGTGTGGTTTGTCCCATTATTTTCTTCACCTTGTTCTTGCAAAGAAATTATATAGAAAGATATTTAGAAAGAACGTTGTACAGGTGGAATGAAATACGAAATATTGAGGAGAGAGGGATGGATAGAGAAGACTGAAATGTTGAACCTGCGGGTACATATGGTGGAATTTTTGAGCATCATTGATATCAGTTGAGTTCAAGGCCTTTTGTATAGCGCAAAAGATCACAATTTTGGCTTTAGAAATGGAGACCACCTACACCAACCATACACACAAAGTGGACATTAAGCCTTATATAAAAACGATCAAAATCCTGAGCATTATCTATGCAAGCACTAGTTTGCTGATTAATGTACAGAATGGTTATCTACCAATACTTCACTGATCTATTTATCAATACTACACTATATTCCCGAAATAATGAATGGAAGAGAAAATACTAGAACAGTGATATGCGTATGTCTGCATGACTGTATGTACATATACGTACACGTGTACGTATTTATATTCCTCTCTGATCCACAAATATTTCTTTCTATTAGCATGAAGGAATTAATAGCGAAACGAGTAAATATGTGTAAAATGTGAACAAAATCACGAAGGACAACTGGTTTAAAATACTATAAAAAAAAGTGACGTTATACCACAAAAATATTTTGGTCATTAATAGGTGCTACTAATATATGCCAATTGTTTCGAAGTGTCAATTGACGTTTGAGAAATGAACAAGCAATGGCGAACTGATAGATTTTCAGAAAATGGTCAAAGTTTACCTTGATTTTTTTGTATGATAATAGCATGAATGTTGATGCAAGTAGTATAAATGCAATGCCAACCCAAGATACTACATAGGACCAACCATAACTGAATCGTGTTCCTTGTTTCAAAATCTGTAATTTTTCTTCATTACTGGAAATCTCTAAACCGAAAATTTTTTTGATTGTCTCAATCGTTTGATAAGCTTACCGGTTCCCAAGATTTATAAAAAGGTGGCATATCCAGTACATGCCTCTCTAGATAATTAACCAAATGCCAGCATGCCATTGAACCAGCAAGGAACATTACTGAAATTTATTCATAATTTCAAAAGATGAAAAATGAAAAAAAAAAAAAAACAATTTTATCTTGGACGTAAAGATTGATCAAAAATTTGTACATAACATAGTTTCCTTTTCCTTTTCCTTTTTTTTTTTTTTGGGAGGGGGAGGAGGGTTTCTTACAAATAACACGCTGCATAGGAAAGTTTTTTTTCCAACTATGAAATTGAGTTAAACCTTATTTCTCTCATTCCAAAAGTTTATAATGAACATTTGCATGGAATACGATATTCACAATTATTTTTAGATATATGAATTTCTCATAACTCCTTGAAATTAATATCAAATTTTTTGATCTCAAATAGATTTCAAACTTTTTAAAAACAATTTCAAGACTAAACAGTTTAGTGAAACTATTACAAAATCATAGATGCGAAATCAATTTTCCGTTAAACTAGTCAAACTTGTTAAATATCTGCTTCTCGCTTTCTTGTAACTACTGATTTGTGTATTGTGTTGGTTCCGTTATTTATTAGAATGATTAGGTTCAAATGAGACTGATATGAGCAGAAGATGGATACGGTGTACTCTATATTTAGGTCAGTTTGTTATTCGAGTTTAACAGTCGCATTTACTTCGTTATATCTAGCATTAAAATTTGAAGTTGGATTTTTTTTCTTTTTTTTTTAAAAAATCCAAACCGTTGTAGTGGTTAAGCAAAGCACTCAAGGGTTGAAATTCTCGGACATTTCACTTAGATATTTCTTTGTGTTATGAAGTGGTTATAGCCATCTCATATAAAGCAAAGCTGAGGTCTATTTCCAGGTAACTATTAGCATGAGAAACATCCATTGTTCCACTAATAGATAATAAAACACGAGTGGTAGTGAGAAGCGTAAATGAGTTACGGGAAAAAACTCGTGCACCTTGAACGTATCACGCCGAAAAGTGGCTGGTAGCTGATAAGGAACGAAAGGGAACTTGAAATGCTTAAGTTAGCAAGCTAATGTAATATAAGCTCGTAATTGTAAATGATCAAGAAATGAAATCCTAAATCATTTCTGAAAAGTTAATCAAACATACAATTTTTTTGAGAGGAAAAATTGCTTTTTAATTAAAAGAGGAAGAAATAAAAAATGAATTGGGCTTAACAGGTAGTAAGCGCCTGATCAATCGAACAATATACAACTAACTGTAACTGAAAAAGGAAAGAATTAGCAGGAGTTACCTGAAAAAAGCATAAGTAATGCAGTTGTAAGAACTATTTTCGTGCTTCTTCGCCAACAACCGATCATACCAAATACAGAACAAATAATGAACACGACCAGTCCCAAAAGATATAATATTGCAGCTCCCCACATGGCATAATAACGATATGTTTGTAAACTGTCGTATTTCTCATATGCTGCATCCGAAGGATGATAATCGTCATTCCAGATGCACGGTGAACCAAATTTGGAAAAGCTTCCGATATCTAAGAAAGTTTTCACCATGTTTTAAAATTTCAATTGAAATTTAAAGGTAAGTGTGATGTCTTGCTTGAACTCCAATAGCTTCCTCCTTCTATGAAATTTTGATTAGTCCCTCTGTGTAAAACCCTCCGACATTTTATGAATTTCTGCATTGCCTTCAGTTTGCTATAGCAATGGAATAAAATTTTAAATTTAACAACACCAAGTTCTACATAGCATTTTCAGAACAAAAAGTATTAGAAGCATACTTCTTCAATGGAAAACTATAAAAAAGTAGCATTCCTCACCGCTAGCAGTTATTTCAATTTACAAGTTATGAATAAATTTTCTATAAGTACTTTCGTGAAATCTCTAAAATAACCAGTCAAAAAGTAGTCGCAGAGATTAATTTAAAGTTCATCTTGGTAACCGAGATGAGTTATCATCAATTAAAATTGATGGTTAATTATGAAACTCTGTTGTTAAAAATACCAAGTTCAGCAGATTAACTTTCCATTAAGCATGCATAAACTGAACCAATTCATTACCTGAAGGTACGGCATCAGAAAAGCATACAAGGAAGAGACCGTAACTGCGTGAAAAGTACAGTGGATTCCTTACAACGTTGTCTTTCAAACGAGCATTTAACTCCGTATTTCGATTCATAGCATTAATTATTTCTCGTCGATTTACCTGAAATAATATAAAAAGATTACTAACTTAGTGAATAAAATAATGGCTGTTAATGTCGCTATCGCAATTCCTACAAATTTCAATCATCCCAGTTTGATCAGCAACCCTTACTCTCTTCAATGTAAGCAATTTAAGAAATGCCGACATTCACGTTTTAACGTTTAACTGTAGCAGTAGAATTTTAGCTCGAAATTCAACAAAATTCTTTCGCACTCTTGAAATAGTCTTAATTAAATCCTTTTTTTCTTCATTTTAAATAGTTATTACGAAGTTGTTGGTCAATTCTCAAAAAAATTTTTGAGAACTTGCTAGAGCCTTTCTGCTTAAACATTTTATTTAAAGTGCTCATTATGAATGTAAAACAAATATTGTTTGTATTAATGCAGAAATTTTTAGATTTTTAATAGAAATTTATACAAAAGTTTTGTACGATTTCTTAAGAAAAGTAAAAAAAATTGATGTATCAAAAAGACGTCGAATTGTTATTTTTTAAAATCATTAAAAAACAACAAAAATAGAGCATGGTAATTTTAAGTCATTAATTCTAAAAAACTCATAGCTTTATCAATTTCAATTAAAATCAGGAAACTAGCTTTGACTGAAAGTTGATATTTTACTCGAGAACTTAAGCTCCACACGCCATCTTCAAATATTACGCAAACAAAACACTTTTTCATGAATCATAAAAAAGCGATAATATGGAATTTACAAGACAGTCTTTGTAGATTCTATTATCCAAAGAATGATATGATCATAAAATCACAATGAATATACAAATTTGTTTTCGGAAATTTTTTACACTACTAGTTAGTAGCCGTTTCAATGTGAAGTTCATTTTGAAAGAAGTTTGAATTTCTAAAGAATTAAATTTTATAGACAGTATTGTTACCCTGCAACATCTTGAAAATAGTTTCATATACTGTCAGTATCAAAATCCAACATTTGGTGCAGTACTGAATGAACAAAAGTAAGATTTTTTGTTGAACACACCAGTTCTTGCAAGGATAGCTGCTAATTTTTACGTGGTAATTTGGAGATTTGGAACATTCCAGCAATCCTATTCATCTGTCGTGGAAGTTGTATGCTCAGACTGCTCCCGGTTCGAGTAAAATCAAGAGACATATATTAACTGTGAGAGATGGCGATTCATCGGAAGCCGACAAATTTTTCGATGGTGGACTATTTGGAAAATTAATTTGTAGGATTTTTGGATGCTGCAGAATTTAGCTGTTGTTGAAAAAAATATGAAAGTCATTGACTTCTATTTCCACGCATGGTGTAGTGATGATTTGGTGGTAACATCTATAAAGGAATGACATTAAAGGGTGGACGAGAGGATGGTCAGCGATTTAGAGGAAATAGAAATAAGGATTAAAAATTTCTCGTTAAACATTTCCAGTTAAGGGAAAACTCTTTCTGAGTTAAGAGATAACTCTTTCTGATTATCTTTTTTCGATCAGTAAAAAGTAAGGAGCTCAAGAACGACACATTATTTTTACTGAACAACAAACTACATTTCAGCCATTTTGATATATGAGCAAAATGCTCGCTGCTATTTTAAATTGGTTGAAGCGCGCTTTTGAAGACGTTAGTATTGAACTGTAAAGATGATTTCTATTTTACAATTTTTGGGTACTCAGGAAAGAATCCAGAATCTCAGTTGAATGGAAGGTATAGCACTGAAACTTCTAAATACGAATTTTTTTTTGCCATACCAATTCATGGGAAGTTTCGAATGCTCTTTCCTATGAATGAGACATAAACAATCTTATAGCTAAGCATAAAACTGTTATTAATTTGATAGTAGCAAAAGCAGATGGACATTATGAAAATAGCACAAACGATTGTCGTTCTTATAAGAACCTTATAATCTCGAATTATGTTAGAAGAACTATGGCTAAAGTGTAGTAATGAAGTTTCAAGTTAGATTAAATAGGAGCAGATTTGTTTGTTACTTAACTTTTTCTCGGAAAAAATTCATTTGTAGATCACTATAACAGTTTACATCACCTCTTGATTATATTAGTGTTAGTTAATTGACATTCTTGCTGCATTTCTTAGTAGTTCACTAACATAAAAATGGTAAGAATTGATTCAACAATGTTAGTAGAGTTGCGTTAAGGGACTGAAAACAAAGGTTACTGTCATTAGAAATTAATTTTTACTAGCAAAACAAAATGGATCGGCAGAAAATCATAATAAAGTGGAGAAAAATGATACCTGATAGTCGGTCCATGAGTCAGTAGCCAAAGCCAATGTGATCAACGCTAGACCAAGTAGGCCAAAAACGCTCGTGAGGGACAACAGTAAAGGCGAGGACCACATGACCGCACACGGTGACAGCCCTTAGACAAAGTGTATGTTGTGTGATGTGATGAGATGATGGTGCGCAGCAACTCCGCACTGTCCTCCTCCTTCGTTATCGTCGTGGTCGCTGTCTCCGTCGCTACTACGTTTGCGGAGACGAAGGGCACACAGCAAATTACAGCAATGCACACAGCAAGTGACATACATACACCTTTATGAACAGAGGCATTACACTCGCATCCCTGCAAGCGACATGTAAGGATAAGCTCCTTCGTTGCTTGCAGATGTCGGCCAGTGGGTTAGATGTGTATTAGGCTTTCTGTGATTGTTGCTTGGAAGATTGATCTGTAGAAAGGTAAGTTAAGAATATGTGGAATAAACTTGAAATATGACAACTGGTTGTTATATCCTTACACAGATCATCAGTGCATTATTGTTATTTGCATAGAAAAAATTATATCCTCAATGTAGATGATAGTAGTAAACCTAGTACAATAATATTATTCCTTTCAGTTCCCGTCCCAAAGGTTATTGGTCATTCAAAATCCTGTATGAGCCTATTTAGAGGCGGGCATTAAGATGACGCAGGTTTGACCGAATGCGATATAGCACAATACGGTGACCTCACAAATGAAACATCCCGTGCAACACCGTTCATCATACAACAAGACGGTAGCAATATCAGTACGCTGTTCATCCATGCCCTCCTCCATTATCTTACAGACCCTAAGATTAAATGCTGCTACGAAAAACCATAAAAAACGACCATTAATTTTCTCTCCTCTCTCTCATATTGCATGAAACTATTTAAAAAATGAATTGTCGACTACAGCAGGAAATTTTTCTTTCCATAAATATGAATGATGAATTATACTATCTGATATCAAAAAAATTTTACTATTAATTTACTGCAGCTTATCTTATTAGGTAATACTTTACCTTTTTCAAGTAACTCATAAGTTGAACACCTTAATATTATTGCTTTGACTCAGCTAAAAAAGAAACTCATTTCTTTTACAGCATTAATGAATCCAGTTATGTAAATCCACCCATTTAGTTGCCAATATCACAACATAAATTCTTCAAAAATGGATTACTGGAAACTCTAAATTAAATATCTGCAACTCTTTTTCTGTTATTATTTAAAAATTTGCTGTAGCATAGAAGTGATTATACGATCCTGACTGAATTCCTACATGCGTTTGATTTAAATTAATTTCAAGCAACAAAACCGGTTATTTTAGAACTATCGTATGTTTCAAGTTTTTAAATTATGCTCTTCAGACTTCTGAAATTAATCAAGAAAGGAATCAGTCAAGGATTTTTCAGCTTTTCGATCTTTTCTTACTTCTTACTATTGGTATCGTCAAACTTTCTCCTAAGAATATTGCTTACATTTATTCATTCAGCACTCTCAGTTTCCCTTGTTATAATAAGCTACCATCCTACACATTTTCATTTTTCTTACGGTTTTGGAAGGATATCGTATCACAACTACCTGAGTACTTTTGATGTTCAGAGCAATTTGCGTAATGAAGTTTTATACAGTTTACCAGTTTTGTAAATAAGCAGTTGTCAATGTTGCTGGCACGTTGCAGTTCCAGAACAGATTAGAGAAGTACTGCTCGGCACTTGAAAATTAGTTTACAGAAGAAAAATGAATTTCTTAAAATATGGACAAAGGAATTTGAAAAGGAATTCAATATGTACAATATGTTTACCTAACGAACGGTCATATTTTAAAATGTCAGAATGTATTTATGTTGTCTTATATACACATAGCATTGGGAAATTGTGATCAGAACTAAGCAAAATTTGCTAATTGATTCCAAGAATTGTCTCATTTGCATTAAACACAATCCTAATGGAAATGGTCTGCTAAAAAACTCGTAATTTTTGTGATACTGTTAGGACTATTAATAAAGCAGTGATAAACATAAAATCAAAAAAAAAAATCGACTCGTTAGCTTGAATTTTGAGAAAAGAGTAACAAATTTCATGGGGTGAGGGAGGGAGTGCGAGGAGAGGGGGAATATTTGCCCTAAGAACAAAACTGTCACTCTCAAAGATAATAGAAAGATAATCAAGCAAATAATAAAAACAAAATTTCTTCTGTAAAATTACCATGATGTATTTCTTTCAGCACTTCATTTTACTGAGAAGATATAAATAAGGCAATACAACCAAAACTGCTACATCTCGATGGATTTCAAGACCGATTTGTCATTTAAAGAATTTTACATAAACATCAATTAACAGTGATTATATTTACAGTAACCCGGAGAAATATACTTCTATGATATCTTACAATCACTTTCACCTAATGGTACTTCTTTATCGTGGTATTTCATTCTCAGTGACTGGTGTTTGGAGCGTCGTAAAAGACTGCCCGACCGATTGAGACCTTTTGGATTGTCTTTAGCTTTGCTAACCTGTAATTAGCATGCATTAAGTTTTCTTGTCAAACGATATTCAACTTCATGGACCAAAACTAAGGTACTTATATACTGCGGTAGATTATCACAATTTCGAAAAATTATTCGTTTAAAGTGTAGACACTTCACACACTTCGAAAAAATTTTTGCAAATTAAGAAACAGTTCTTTGATACTCATAGGAATTTCAGAGTTTTCGTGACTGGACAATTCAGAATTAAAAAATTTTTTTTCTTACAAATAAGGCGCATCGTCACTCTACTTACTTCGTCTGAAACATTTTCTCCATCCGATTTTTGAAATTTTCGAAACCGAAAATCTTAATTGGAATTTGCAGGATAATACTGCTTTAAAAAGTATGCTTCCATTCTAAAAAGGGTAGTAATTGCTCTTAGCATTTACCTTATACAGTTAGGTAATAAGGCAATAGTACTTACCCGCAATGACCAATTTCGATTAAGCTTCTTTGTTGGCGAAATCTCACGAGATCTCAATTTTTGTTGCTTCATCCACTTCTGAAAAAATTTCTGCAAATATTGACATTTTATGAATTCTGATACATCAAAGAAAGTGGAAGGTAAGGAAAGGAAGAAAATATAAACAGATTGACAAGCAACATTTTGCTGGAAATTGAACGAATAATAAAATGTATTTCAAACAGATGCTCAATAATTTTACAAAATCATAGACAAGCATAATGTGAGCGTAAGGGTTTACAAATTATTCAACGATTCAGTATAAATAAATATTGAAGTTCATAAAAAAGATATTGAAATGTTCTGGACCACAACTTCAGAAGTATTTTGACAAAATAAGAAGAGTTGTCATCTCTAGCTTACTTCTTCATCCAATAAACCACTTTGATCCAGAAAATTTCGGAATATTTTCACTGTGTTATAGTTCATTTTTGCAGAGGATTCGACATAACTTATATTGAAATTTAAATGTTGCATCCATGCTTGAACTGTTGCTTCATAGACCTAAATCACTTCCGTCAAAAATCTGAGTAATACTAAATTGATATTACGATTTTTATTTTGAATTTTTTTTTTAATTATTGAAAACATTTCGGAAACATAATATTACTGATTGATGCTATTAATTTAAGTACTTTTTGAGGAGATGAATCGCACTTGTTCCCAACAACAACAGTTGGAAGAGTTCGAGCATCTTTTCGTTGCTGCACAATTTGTGACCATATGTCACTCATCTGAATTTATGACTTTGGGGATTTCTGAATATGACAAAAAATTTTTTCAGATCTGTTTCTTGTGCAAAATCTCTCACATGAACTCCAACTGAAATTATAAGAACCTGCTTGAAACTAGCCACATCATTGACAGCAAATACAAGCATGAATGCACTAGCGGATGCTATTGCAATTTTGCGCATGCCAGGATAGCCGAAATTTGTATCCAGAATTTCCAGTGATATTTCTTTTCCCTGTTTCAACATAATGATTTTTATTGCTTGAAAAAACGAGACAATAGGAGAAAATTCATAAGATAACTGGGACAATAGAAAGCTCTATCAAATAAGCACTAATTCAAACTAACAAAAACCTGCATATTGAAATCTCTCGAATAAAGATCTTCAACCGTTTCTCTGTATTTTTCATCGAAAGTTCCATGAAGATAACGCCGAATGATTGATGTCTTTCCCACTTTTCCAGGACCCAACACAACTATGCGGAATCGTGTTTCTTCCATCTCTATATAGTGTGTGAAGATGACATCGTTATTGAAGTTTGGATTCCATTTCTATTATCATAACGATTTTGTATACTCTATTGTGTATGATCTTGGCGAAAATAATCACTTTGTAAGTCGAGTTGTCATTCCTATTTGTTAGCAAGTTCTCCGCACTTAATTATTTGAGCTATCAACAGTCAAAAAGTTAGCATTTAAGAAATTCATCTAATTTATATCTTTTATTTTTATTTTGCATCGTTTTCATTGACTGTTACAATACGCTTGTGGTCCCTTCGAAGGAATCAGTATTTGCTTTAATAATGCAGATAAATTAATTTCTGTCTAGTACTTATTAACATTTACTACAACAATGCCTTCGTTTTGCTTCCGTAAATCTTTCTCATCACGAAAAAATGTGAAAATAAGCAACAAGAAAAAAAGAGAAATATCGAAAAGAGCTGGAGAGTGAAGGAAATAATATTTTGTTCGTTATTACTAATTTTTCGCAAACGTGAATTATTTTCAAACCTTTTACAACAACAGCCTCACGAAACCAAACTCTAGAAAGAGATTTTATGATGACTTAAAAAGCCATGGATTGCCTGCCTAGACTAGGCTGTGCAAGAGACATCGCCGTGTTAACCGATAAAGCATGTAAACATGCAATTCAAACTGCCAACGGTCTTCGCAGAAACAGACTGAATGAAATCTTCTTCTGAGTTCACTAGGAGATCACAGTGTCCTACTTCGCTCAAAAATGAAAAGTCTCTGCTACTTTTGCATTGCGTTAGAGTTAGATTTTGTGCACTTCATGAATAATACCAAAGATAGTAAAAGAATAACTTGGAAGATTTTCAAGTTTCATCCTGAATCTGAATGAGAAAAACTGTCAAAAGAATGCGGGAAAGATTTTGAGGATGTCATATTTACATGAATATACCAAGAGTTTTACTCGTTGCACTAGCTAGGAATATTTTTTCCAACCTCATTTCTAATAAAATTTCCTTTCATACTATTGAATAGCTGTAATTTGCTTTGGTGAAATTTCAAATATTAGAGATAAAGGCATCATGTGAACTTAATCTGTACCATAAACTCGAAATCCGACTAAACCGATTTAGCCGAAAATCATCAATCTGAAAAGTAAATAATCCCGTACTGTTTAATGACAGTGAATGCTGTGAATAAAAATTTTTTCGAAATCAAAACCGTGCCATGATTTCGAAAGTAAAACTTACCAAGTTGTTGACAAAGTCACGTTTACTCTAGGAAAAGAAATCATTGGAAGTAAATTAGCAGCTTCACCAAAGTAAATTTTTAAGGCAGTGATCTTAAATTTCATTTTTTACAATTATTAAGTTAACTTTTTGAAAAAGAACATATCTTTCCAGAATATGCAGAGAATTTAATTTTGAATGCTTACTAAATTTTGAACACTTCTATTGCATGAAGCTAATGAGACCAGACACAAAGAGTCAAAGGTGCACATGTACTGAAAAAATTTTTTTCGGCAAAAAACTCCTTTCATGTGATATCATTCGAAATGTTTCAGGCACGATTTTTGAAGTAATAAATTCAGCTTAGATAA